AAGTGCAGCCAGAATTCTCCTTAGAGGCAAGGATGGTGAAACTTCTTCTCACACTCTTTGGGCACGCTGGGAGGGGCTATTACTTGGGAAAGGATAACATACTTGCAAAGGTGGAGGCTCAGCAAAACGGAGGAAGAACCTCAATGAGATGGATTGATACAGTGACTGCAGCAAAGGATTCAAGTGTGGCACAGATGATGTGGATGACACAGGGTAGGACAGGGTTTGGATCTATTTTTTATAGAATCACAGTGATTCATATTTGACTCAATGGCACCTAACAACAACAACAACACTAAATAGATGTACCAGTGAGGACAGGGACCATGCTTCACTTATCTTTGTGTTTGGTACAAGACTAATGCAATATTTCCAATAAATGTTTACTGAGAGAATAAATTGGTTTGTTTTTAAAGGATTGGGCTGTCCTCAGCATTTAAGTTTCTGAATTAAGCTATTATCTCCAATCTCTTGAAGCCTTAGTAGTAGTATTAATTCTTATCTGTAGGTGGGGTTATTAATGATATCTACATTATTGAATTGTACTGGAAAAAAATAAGGCAATGTTTTGGCGGATAGAAAACTGTTAACCCTTTTTTGCCCCTTTCCCAAAGAGTCTGTTTCATCATCTGTGAAATGGGTATCCATGCACTCATTTATGTGTTCATTTATTCAACAAACATAATTTCTGTGTGCAGATCTAGGGTGATTAAAGAGGTGAGTAAGCCACATCCCTGCCATGAGGACTGTCTGTCCTAGGCTAACACATCAATAGGAAAAACCCAGGGACAGAAGATGTGTGAGGTATATCGGGCCAGACGTGTGAAGCAGGAAGTCATCCCCAGCTTTCTATGAACTCACCAGGGAGACAATAAAAGGTTATAGACTCACTAACTTTATATGAAATAATAGAGGTTTGGTGCCATGGCCTCTTTTAGAAATCCTGTTCGAACTTCTGGCAGTTCCCTGTCTATGTATTGTTCTAACCATTTTTTAATGCTCTTCAGCAGCATATTTTTTCCCTTCAATGTGATATTAATGATATTGTTTGATAGTTTTCACATTCTGTTGGATCACCTTTTTTGGGAATGGGAACAAATATGGACCTCTTCCAAACCATTGGCCAGACAGCTGTCCTCCAAATTTCCTGGCATAGACTGCCGAGTGCAGCCAGGGCTGCATCTGTTAACTGATACCTTAGTATCAGCAGTTAGGAAATCAGGAGACATATTACACTGGGAAAGTATGCAGTTAAGGACCTCTCCACATTATTGAGGAGCAATGATGTCTGTTTGACAACTATGGTGCATCTGTTTCAGGCCATGGTCTTTCCAATCACTTGCTAGACTTCTGAGATCTGGACAATAAATAAAGATGACGGAATTATTGATGACTTTGAGCTGTGGTGTTGAAGGGAACTGAACATCTATGGACTGCCAAAAGAACAAACAACTATGTCTTGGAGAGGATGAAGCTTCACTTCACATACTTTGTGCATGTTGCTAGGAGGGACTGTTCTTTGGAGAGGGACTTGATGCTCAGAAAGAAGATCCTCGACCAGGTGGAATAACATGGTGACTGCCACAATGGGCTCTGTTGTGTTAGGAAGTGTGAGAATGGCACAGAATAGGAGAGTTCAGATTTGTTGTTCATAGGGTTGTTATGGGACATACTCAACTCGACAGCACCTAACAGTGACAATATAGGTTTGAAATGAAGTTGATCCCTCTGAGATCTGGTATTTGGAGACTGGGTCTGTGAAAGGGATGTCAGTTCTGTGGCAGTTCAACTTTCTACCCCAGCTCACCAAGCATGCCAGAGACTGAGTAAAACATTGGAATCACAATGAGAATCCAGTTTGAACAGCCACTGCCCTCTGAGACTCGGCCTTCCCTTGCTCCCCTTCTCTTGAGTTCTGCCTTCTCAGGAGACTAAAGAATGATTCCCTTACACTCAGTGCAGTGTGATGTAGATGGTCCTCCAGCAAGTGGTAGGTCCCTGCCTAGTTCTCCAAACACAGCCTGCTCCTTCTCCAGGTGGGACATGATGAAGAGCCTCCTGGGCATTGTGGACTCAGGAGAGCCCAGGTCTCTGGGTTCCTGAGGCCTCCTGGGCCACATGCTAATCTCTAATGTTCATAGTTGGCCCTAGGAAGCTGACTCCTACCAACCAAACTCACAGTAGAATAAAACTCTTAAATTAGAATTTTTCATTCAAACTGAGTGTATGTGTGGCATATAGGGGAACTCTTTAAATCCATTCAGCAAAAATGTTGAATCTATTGCTCAAAGCAGTCTTTTGCCTTTTTTTTTTAATTGAAAGAAATTTACAGGCCAGGGTTATTTAAATACCAGGGGAGGGTCTGCTGTCAGAGAATGAGGGCAAACTAAGTTCCAGAGGGCCTTCTGCAGCAGGCCTCTGGGAGGGAGCAAGATTTACGGGGTGAGAGCCTGTCTGGGCCGCTTCTTCTGTCGGCAAAGGCCTCCCTGCAGTATTTTCTGTCTCGTCAACGCTGCATTTCATTTTAAATTGCAGCTGAAAGCAGATATTTTCCCTCTTGCCTATTACACCTCTTAATTTGTCTCTCCCTCTGCTGTTATTTGTCTCTATAAAGTATTTTTCATGAAAGACTCACACAGCACAATGTTGTTTTGCCCTGGGATAGGTTTAACAAAATGAGAAAACACAGGGAGAATGAGGTTCAAGGGGGAGCCTAGGGATGGTGGGAGGGCTGTGGGTGGGGCCGCACGCGTCTGAGAGAGCACACCTGTCAATGAGTACAGGAACATGCTTTGGATGGTATCTGTCGTCTGACGGTGTCTGTCAGTATGTGTGTGCACATGTCAATCTTCATGCACATATGCATATGTGTCTATGTACATTTCTGTAGTCACTTTAGTGTCTAGACCTAAACTGTGTTGTGCAAGTAAGTGCACGGCCCTGCACCAGTCTGTGTGCATATCCATCCATGCGCAGAAGCACATACGTGCATAAAGGCACACACAGGCATCCGGGCGTATGTATATAATTGAGATGATGTGTATGCTTCTCTGTGTCCTACGCCCAGGTTTCCCTCTCTCCCTGTGCCCTCTCATGACTGTGGTTAACTTCTCCCTGCCTCACCCTGTGGCCCTGGCCCAGTCTGGGGCTGTAGGAACAGAAAGGCACAGCTCCCTGGTTTGGCTCCAGCCATCCCTTCCTCACAATCGACCACAGCGACCACCCTGCCTCTCATGAGACTCCTGGACCACCCCCAGGAGCACTGGCCTGCAGCTACCAATCCTCTACAAGCCCTAAAGAGGTGAGAGATGTCATCCAACTACCTGCAGAAACCTCTGGACCAGCCCTATGCCCTGACCCAGTCGAGTGACCAACAAGCGGAGCGGCGCGGGCGCAGGTAGAGGAAGGGTCTCTCTCGCTCCCAGTCCAGCAAACGCTGGGCAGTAACCAATGGGCGATTGCAGCCCAACGGGGATCCCTCTGAGGCAGCCAATGACCTCACTCCGCTCGCCACCCCCGCCCTCACTAGCCCCGCGCCGCTGGACCATTGGTGTTGGTGGGATGTGGGGGAGTGTGTGCCGCGCTGGCCGTCTGAGGCAGGGGGCGTGGCTTGGAGTCTCGGCCCCTCTGCCCACCCTCGCTCTTCCCCCGCACCCCCCAGCCTCCGTCGCCAGGCCATTGGCCGGGCTGCGGCGCCGAGGGGGAGGCGGACCGCAGGTCGCGCAGGTGGGCGTGACCGGAGGGCGTGGTCCGGCGGGAGGCGGGGCCGCGGGAGCTGTCGCAGTGAAAGCCCGAGCGGGCGGCGGCGGCGGCGGAGGCGTCCGGGCGAGTGTGCGCG